ATATAGTTAATATCATAGTATTAATTAGTACTATCCCTAGTGGAAAATAAAAGGGAGTTTGTTGAAAAATTCTCTACGTGAAGTCTCTTGAAGTTCTGAAATATTAAAACACTGACTTAAAAAAAAAAGTCCATTTATTAATTGACAGCCTGACAAGGAGAAATAAAAGATCCCCTGATATTTGGAGAATTTCCTCAAACATTTTCAACAGTCCCTGGACAGTTGATAAAATATTTTGCCTCTCTTTAACCTTGTCTTGGTAATTGGCCTAGTGGTAACTGACACCCTTTGACCAAATGGGTGTTATGTCATCCACAGTGCTTAAGACTTTAAGACTCAAAGTGCTTATGACCTTGAGAAAATTTGATGTTTAAAAAGCATCATTCATTAACTGAGTGAACTTGGCCACAACACTTAGAGTTGTTCCTTTCTTTATACACAATATCAAATTCTAGCTGTCCATCTAAAGCCTAGTGAATGCATATGGAATTGAATTTATGATTTAATCCTAGTTCTCTTGTGCAAATTTACAGCCCCTGATGACCAATATAGTTGTTCTATGTACAAATGACTCAGTGGAGGAAAACTGCTTCAGGCTCTCCTGTCTCAGACACATAGTACTTTGACCAGCACTTGCTTAATAAATGTCAGTTTATTTCCTCAGCCTTACCTGAATTCACATGGTAGATAGTGCAATTTCACCCAAGCTACTTTAAAAAATTAAATTTTGCTTTTTTTTCATGTTGAAAACAAAATAAACCAAATCTGAAATCTGGGGTTGTGCTGTCTGTAAAAATAGGAAAGTCTAAGGAAAAAAACCCAATGGATTTTGATTAAAATTTTAGTGAGCAACTTCTGGCTATACTTTTCAAAGAGAAACTTCTCTAAATGCTTGTGGCCCAGAGGCCACATAAAGGGATTAGTGTATTTTGCGTCTTCACAGATTTTGGTAATTTCTATAGTCCTTTCTTTTTGCTACTTCCTATTTCATAGCTGTAAAAACAATTTAGAATCAACCTGAAAGCAAAGAGACAGATTTCTACCATTTGAATGCTGCCAAAGGGATATATACATATATATATATTTCCCCCCTCCCCCCTGGGAACAAAAGTGTAACTTTAAGTTACACTGTGTGAGATAAGGAAATGCTTCTTATTAGAAGTTTCCTTGTGATTGAGTGGAGATGAGACCCGTCTGAGCAAATGGCTGATGACCCAATAATGGGTCAGAACGTGTTAGGTTAGACTGGGTGAAGGGGGTTTTCCTTATTCATTCAACAGCCCAAGAGAGGATATTGTCTTTGATTAAGAGAGAAAGGGAGGGAGGCCTGATGGCACAGCAGAGGTGAAATAATGAAGACCTGGCTCACGACTGAGTTTTTTGACCATTAACTACTGTCACTCAGTGACTCAAGGTAGAACTACCCTGAGAGCTGAAAGCCTGGAATGTTTCTTTCCCTTGTGGAATAATCCAGCTTAAAAACCCTGAGTGTGTATCCCTCTGAAGCTTTCTGACAGCTTGCCTCCCTCAAGGGGAAAACGAAATCGGATTTAGTCCTTGTTCTCTTTTTGCAAATAAATTCCTTCATGATAAACAGGGTTGCCTGGCTGCAAGGTAACTTGCAAATTGAGAAAAATGGCAACAGTGTCTCTTCCTGTGTGGGTCTCTATTATCCCTCCTGCCGTGGTCTGAATGTGTCCCCCTCACATTCATATGATAATCTTTAACCCCCAAAGATGCCGATATTAGGAAGTGAGGCCTTTGGGAGATGTTTAAGTCATAAGGATGGAGCCATTACAAATGGGATTAGTGCCTTAAGGCTCCAGAGAGATCTCTTGCCCCTTCCACCATGTGAGGTTACAACGAAAAGTCTGTGACCTGAAATAGGGCCCTCACTCGACCATGTTGAGACTCTGATCTCAGGCTTCCAGCCCCCCGAAGTGTGAGAAACACATTTCTCTTTTTTTTTATGAGCTACCGGGTCTGTGGTATCTCATGATCATAGCCTGAATGGACAAAGACACCTGTTTACCTCCTTCTGTTTGTCCCTCCCTCCTCTGATGAATTCCATCTTTCTATAGAATTCATCTTTTTGAAAACATGTTTTCTGAGTGCCTACTGTGTGCCAGGCATTGTTTTAGCTCCTGGGGATGTAATGGCAAACAAAACAGAGCATTTCTCTACCCTCAAGAAGCTTACCTTGTAGCACTCTCTGAAGTTTGGCTGAACCCTGGCTCTTCCATTGACAGCTTTGTAAATTTGGGGCAGGTTACTTAACTAAGCTGTGCCTCATTTTCTTCCGTGTAAGGGGGTAATATTAGTACTTGCCTCAACCGGTCTTAATTAGGATCAAATGAGATAATATACGTAGAGCATTTACAGAGTGTGTGGCTATGAGCTAGGGTCCTGGGCAAGCTGCTATTGTCATTGGTGTTGTTGGTGCTTTTGTCACGTTCTTTCTCCCTGAGATACTTCTTGACTCATCATTTGCCTGGTGACCTGAGGGACCACTTTAATTCGTGCCTCATTTTCAGGGCCAAGGAGCAAGCAGGAGCCCTCTCTGAAAAGGCCCAGGGAGCAGAAGTTGTGAGAGTAGCACATGACTGTTGTAGGGAAATGTGCTATCCAACATACTGCAATGGATCCTGCTGGAAAAATGGGGACCGGTACCCTTGATATACAAGAAGCATGTGAGCAGAAACAGATCAAAAGGAGGCTAAGGGATGCTTTGTGAATACGCAGACTGTTTGTACAGTGGCAAAGTCAGGTCCATCACTTTTGCAAAGGGCAGCCTCCCCCTCTTCTATATTTGTAGTAGATCCTTCTCTGCCTCTACTTACCTACTTCCCAATACTTTAAAACTTTTTGATACTGGTAAAAGAGGTAAGTCATTTCAGATATTTTTTCAGACATACCCAATTCTACTTTGGCAGTGTCCCTCGGTCCTCTATGCCTTGTAGGTAACTTTTCTGGTTTCTTTCTTTCTTTTTTTTTTTTAAGATTTTTTATTTATTTATTTGAGAGAGAGAGAATGAGAGACAGAGAGCATGAGAGGGGGGAGGGTCAGAGGGAGAAGCAGACTCCCGGCCGAGCAGGGAGCCCGATGCGGGACTCGA